GAGTGGAGCAAACTCTGATGAAAAAGATAGAAAACAATCTGTCTGTACATATAAGTGCAATTTTTAGCCAATCCAGAAGGCAGGTAAAAAAACGGAGGACATATTTCGACTCCTGACATTGAGACAAAGGAAAACAATTGGCGTGTAAGGCCCATGGACCACTAGACACAATGACGCTTGAGCTCACACATAAAGGTTGTTTCGACGAGTGACGATATGTGACAATTTTTTCAACAGTGGTCTGGAGACGGATTGCTTCTGAAGGCTTTACAGACTTTTTGGTGGAGTCCATTTTCTATTTCAAGGAATACAATGATTCTAGATTATTTTGCCCTTGGCAGGTCGGGTTCCGAGATTTGTTGATTGTGGCAGTTGCTGAAAGCTTTAGGGCAAATAGTGGTTGTCCTTAAGCTATAAAAATTGCATTTCTCCTTATTTACGGACCGACGGATTGGTTCGCTCGATAAATTGGATTATCACTTTTAAATTTTCGTCCTAACATGTTATCATGTGGGTTGGCCATTAGGTTCGGTGTTACCATGTGAGGAAACCATTGTCATTTGCAAGAATTATCTGCCCTATTCTACGTGTTTGAAGTGCTTAAAATTTGTTAAGTTTGATAACTAAAATATATATTATTGAATGAGACTTGATATAATTGAAGAGTGAATCACTGTGTGAGACTTAGATTGAAATAGAAATTATTTTTGTTGGCACACCTTTTATTGCTTTGATTATTCTGTTAAAAAAATTGGACTTTACTCCTTTATCATTCCCTTGATCTAAGATCACAAATTTCAAGGAATCCTCACGATAACAAAAAACAGCATTTTGCAACGCAAAATGTAATATTTATTAATTGAGTGTTGCAGGGATGACAATCGTGTTCGTCGACTTGGGCCTCTTGTGGCTCGACTCGAAAAAAGTCCGAGTCAGCCTGACTGGAGACTCGGAGGCACTGAGCCAAGGCTCGCGCCAACCCGTCGAGCCACATGTGTGGACTCGCTAAAAATTAAAAAAAAACTGGAGACTAAATCCGCTGCCTGTTTGGCAACTTTATGCTGCTGATTGAGACTGCTCGACCGATAGCTTAGAGGGAGAAAAAATCGAGTCGATTCAGCTCGGTAAAGCCTGAGCTAAAAGCTCGGGTCGAGCATTAATTTTTTGACCGAGCTTTTGCTCGGCTCTTCAAAAAACCCGAGCCCAGCCCAGCCCGACCAAGGAGTTTCGGCTTGGTTCGTTGACACTCCTAAATTGTTGCTAAAAGAGTCTATTGCAACAGTCTCTAATAAGTGGATTTTGTCAGTAGTTTACATAATTAAGATTCAAGAGTATTTTTCAAATGCATGTTATTAATATCATCTTTCCAATGTTCATTGGCTGTCGTGAAAAGTTTTATTTTTTGCAATATTCATTTTGATCGTTGTTAAAACTTAGCTCTATAGCAACACTCAGTGACTCTTGCTGAAACTTTTATTATATAGCTTTTTGCAACGTTCAATGACTGCAGCTAAAACTCTTAATATATAGTTTTTTGCAATGTTTATTAAGCGTTGTTAAAACCTATTCCTTTAGCAACGTTCATTATCCATTGTGATAAAATGCTCAACCCAAATTTAATTTCAACCAAATCCAACCTAGTTAAAAAATATTCAGAGAAATAATTTACTAAGTAATGAAAACTCTACAACTCTACTCATTTCACGCCTTTGTCATGTCTCCTTGCACTCTTCCCTTTTCTCCCCTCCAACCATGGCAGTGACAACAACAGATACCGTTCGATTGGAAGAAGAGATGGTAATCGCGCCCCACTGCTCTTCGTCGGACAATCCAGATTTGACCCCATCTCCACCTAGAGTTTCATAGCAATTTCAAACACATATATTCGTTATAGAACTTTTCCCAAAGTACGGTGCAGTACCCTATTTAACATGAATTGGGACCTTGTTTACATTAGAAAGTGACATGACGTAATATTTAAATTATATTTTGCATATGAATGAAGATATTAAAACTTGAAAGTGACATTCTCTGTCACCTTCTTCTAAAAAGATCGCAGTCTATCTCATTTGAGTTATTTAAAATCAAATCAAAGAAATGAATACATCTGTATTTGTCAAAATTTAAATATAGATATAAATTCAAACATTGTTTTACATTAAAAGTGACATGATATAATACTTTATTTACATTTTTTATATATCGATTAATTTGCTGAAAATTAAAAGCGACATACTCAGTCACATTTAAAAAAAAAGTCTCACACTATTTCATTTATATTCTTTTTGCAGATATGGATAGAATTAATGGTCTCATTTGTTAATAAGGCAAATGGGAATAAAATAATGAATATAAAAGTGACAAAATCATAGAAATTGGAGTCTCAATAAAATGCACAAACAACAAAATGTTATTAAAATGTATGTCACTTTTTTGTTATCATATTACTTTTTTAAAAATGTCAAGTTTTGACGTTGTTAAAAAGAGACTACGCCCCTGTTGGATTCGTTTTACTTACTTTAATTTATTTATTATACTTAATTTTAATCGCATATTATTGTGTTTTTACACATTTATTAGATACTTTAATAAGCGAGTTATTGATTAAATTGAGTGAATTTTTATTCACAATTGTGCAATTATAACTTTTGTATGTCAAAATTACCTAAGAAAATAAAATAAAGCAAAAGGAGAAAAAATGGACTAAAAGTGTGAAGTTGGAGATCAAAGTGCACAACATCAAAAGTTGAGGACTTGATTGCAATTTATAAAGGGCTTGATTGAAATAAAAGTCAAAATTTAGGATCAAACTGTACAACATCAAAGTTAAAGGACCTGACATGAAATTATTTTGAGGACTTATCTGCACAATGAACCAAATTCATGATTTTTGGCAGAGAGTTGCCATTTTTTAATTGAAAAAAATAAAATAAAATCGAGGCATGTTTTAAATGTTTATCCAAAATCTAGGGGTTGGCTGCTATTTCTGAATAGGGTCTAACAGTTAGAAACAAGCAGCCACCGATATTTTTTTCCCATTCCTCTTCGTTTTTATTTTCTTTCTTTTCCTTTCTTTTTTTCATCTTCTTTTCTTTTTTATTTTCTTGATATTTTTGGAGAAAGATTAGGGTACAACAAGAAAAATAAATCAAAGAAAAGGTCAAGAAGATTTGGGGAACTCAAGATTCAAGCCATTATCATCTTCAAAAAACCAGTCTACATAATTTGTGATGTGTTGGATAAATATTTTTATTTATTATCGTATATAATATGGGCTAATTTCTTGTGTTGGTATTTATAGTAGTAGTTTAAAATATCTTTAATTAATTTTACTATTTACATTTTAATGTTAAAATGCTTATTTTCCATGTGTATCTAATATTGTATTTCTTACATTTTCATTTATGTGAGCAATAAATGATTATATTTAGTGATTTGTACATTATTCGAGAGAATATTGTTCATTTTAGACCAAATGGTAAAAACACTATGTTCTTGTAGCGAATAGATATATACTCTTACCTCTAGGTGACCCATTGAATTATTTTTACAAAGATTTAATGTGATTGTTTAGTTTTAACAGACATAAAAATATAGTAGATTAAACCAATCAATTAGAGTTAATTTCGATCAAGAGAGGTACTAGCTATACTTTAAAAATCGGGTCAAACATCGTAAATAAGTAATTTGTTAATTGTTTTGTAGATAAATTAATTAGGCGACAGTAAAGCTAAACCATGAATCTCAATCACGTTCTTTTTCGAAAGTCACTTTTTATAATTAAATGTATTCAAAATGCTTCAATTTTCAATGTAAAAAAATAATAAAATAATCGAAAGAATTTAGTTTGAATAAAAAGATAGAAAAAAATAATAAATATTTTTTGAAAATAATAAATTTAGAGGCTGTTTGGGAGTGATTTTGATAATTGATTTTTTGACCGTTAGGAGAAAAGTGGGGTCCACCTGTGAGAGAAGAAGTCAAATATGACGACTGAAATAGTGAAATAACGGTCAAAAAATAAATTTTTTTGGGTGAAAAAATCGAGTCCAAACAGGCCCTTAAGTGTTAAATATAAAAAGCTTGTTGAAGTACTTCAAAAATTTAACTCTCTAAATTTATAAATACTTTTCATATAATAAAATATGCTCTTTAAAAATAAAATCACTTGAAAATGCTTTTATATGCCATTTCAACGGATATTTTAGAGATAAATTGTTATCAAATGCAAAATGTGTTTACTAATGAAAAGCTTTAGAATAAAAATACCATGAAAAATCGTTAAGGGCATAAAGCTATATTGAGTAAAGATTGAAAACCTTAAGGGTTTGTTTGATTGTGACAAAAGAATTTATATAGAAAAAAAATAAATTTTTGGATAATTCAATTGTCAAGAACTTATTTGCATGAAAATTATTAATTATATATTTTTAATTGATTTAATTTTTAATTTAAAAAATATTATACTTTTCTATTTTTTATTGGTGAGTAGATAAGAGAGGATATAGATGAGAGAGAAGAAGAGAGTAAATTATCTAAAAAACAATAATCACTAATCTTTAAAGAAATTATTTTCCTTATTTTTGAAAAAAATATAATCACGTGACCGGAAGTTAGAAAATATTTTTCATAAAAAAAAAAAAAAATCAATCAAACACTCAAAAAGTAAAAATATGGATGAAAAAAATAATATTTTCCACGAAAAATAAAGTCAATAAAACACATTCTAAATCTAATTATAATGTGATGTAAGAAATAAAAATTGTAGTGCAAATATAATTACTCAAAAAATACATAGGTAAGAAACAAAATTTACTTGCACATGGTTTGATCCGACTGCAGAAAATTGATGTAAATAACAGTAGCAAATCAAACTAGAATGAAAACCTGGCAATAATTGATCTCTCAAAATACTACCAGTTCTTATGTCATTCTATTTTTTAAAGCACATTTTTTTTCCCACTGAAAGAGGAGATGACAAAAGCAAGTACAAGAACAAATGATCTAATTTTCAACTGTTATCTAAAATCTTGTACAATACACAAGGAAAAACTATTAATTAATTTCTGTAAATCATGTATTTTGTGCATTCCTTGAATTAGCTTCCACCCATTTGGGACTGTTACAAATTGTTGCTACACAGAAGCTGGAAATAATTGCCCTGCATAAATTTAATAAAGCTAGAAGTACAAATCATAAGCATCAAGTACGTAATATCCACAACCCTCCTACGCTATGTACTCAGCTCTAGATGCCCACTATTAAACGACAAGTGAAAATGAGGAAAAAAAAGAAAGAAAAGAATCCCAGATTCCAAACTGTTGTCCCCCTTCAAGAATTCCAAATATCAACTAACCAGTCTTTTTCTTTTATGGAGGGGCCGGAGCCAAGGAGAGGGAGGGAGAAGAGGGATGGTCTGAGGTTAAAGATACCACCTGAAAAGATCCTCGTTTGAATTGCACTCAACTCCTCCATGCATTATATCAGGTAAAGTCGAGTGCATGCTTACTCTAATTCAGGATGGGAAATGTTTTTACCACCTTCCCACCCCAGGGTATTGGCCAAGTTATTGGACAGTTGATTTATTGATTCGGCAGCAAGAGAGCTTGTATTTCCAGTGGAACTGGCTTGCTCCTTGGCCTTCCTCTCCAGCAAGGATTTCTCTCGCTCATCATAGAAGTTGAAATCATCAAGAAGCGATGTATCAGCATCATGATTCTTGAATATTTGTAAAAATTCGAGTCCTTGTTCAAGTTTCACCTGAAACAAAACACCATAAAGGTTAATTGAGTTGCAACAATGAGTAAATCCTGAACCTATTTATATTGATAGACCTAATTTATATGCGGAGACAGATAAATTGAAACTTCGACGCGCCATTGTGAGCAGAAGCATTAACAGCAGCAGATAAGAGGACTATTTATCTGACGTAGGAAATTCTAACAATGCTGAAAGAAACATTAGATCAATTGAGATAGGAGAAAGAAACGTGAAGGTCAAGAAAAACCGTAAATGATGGTCATCCAACTATGTACAAGGAAATACAGTAGACCAAAGATGATACTGATTCTGGTGAATAAAGGTTTGCAAATAAACTACTACCAAGTCAAAAGAAACTAGCAACCCCAAGTCAAAGAGAGGTCTTGCCTCATCTGCATTATCAGGATTGACTGCCATCCTAAATGAAGTGTCAACTCTTTGATAAGTTTTCAGAAATACTGATTCGATCCAATTTGCTTCTACATACATCATAGCAGGGAAAATGCCCTTACTCCCACATTCACTCCCGAAGTTTAGAATTAAATAAATATAGAGGTTGAGCTATGAACATAATGCAACAAGAAAGAAACATCCACAACAGAATATCTAGCAGGTCTTGAGAGACAACTAGCAGACAGTCCTTCCAACCATAAAGGATTGAAGTGGTTAATGCATCTTAGATTGAATACACACAACAGTTACTCAAGTCTGTAAGATAAAACACTTTCAAGTGGTAGTCAATCCTTCCAAGTATAAAGGAATTAGGTGGTTAATACATCTTAGATTGAATACTCACAACAGTGACTGAAGATAAAACACTTTCAAGATTGGAAGAAAATATTTCAAGACAGTAATACCTCTTGAGAATCTCTACTGTGAGTAACAGGCTTGTTGTCATTATTTTCAATAAGTATGTGGCGGAATTGAGTGTTGGGTACATCTTTTATAATATGCCATTTGACAGGGAACTGCCCAATCCACCTATCTTGCTGCCAGTAGTCAGCATCATTCTCAAAATCAACTGGTCCAACCATCTCGGCTATACCACAGAACTGTCCACTAGCATTAACCTGCAGATAGGCCACAGCCAGCACATTTGGAAAGAATAAATATACTACATGATGTGGCACAACCTATATGTGAAAGCTCCATCTGACAAATGAATGGATGACAAGCAACGGCCTAATAATTTACTAATTTCTTATAGCTTCATGTTAATGTGGGGCTCAAATGTCCAGTGCAGTAGTGCAACTCATGTTAACCGCTTGAACGCCCTGAATACCTTGATGATCATTCCCCCAATTACTACATTCTATTTATGGATGACAGATAATACCAAGAACAAGTTTGAAATCTCGGTCTTGTCTAGTTATCACTTAAAACCAAGTAGCATGTGGCCAGATCAACGAAGGTGCAGACAGTTTTGAGTGCTGATACTTTCTAATACTAACTTTTACCAGGGGACATGTAGAGAAGAAAGAGAGAACAAAATGTTGACTCAAGCCCAAACAACATGCAAATACCACACAGACGAAGAACAAAATAACATTAAAATTGCAGAACCTGAAATGACAGGTCTTGCATAACTGCATGATATGGGAGTGAGGCTAAGACTAATCATTTGAAAGTTAGCATTGTTCCAAACTAGTAGAGAAATAACAAAGAAATATATTCTAGTAACAGGTTCACAGAAATAAACAAATGATACAGGTCCCAATTACTTCAAACCATTCCATCAGATAACAATGCCATTTAGGCTATTTGCAGTCTTCTATGACTATAAAAAACAAAGCACAGTTTGACAGGTTTCAAGCTGACTAGTCCTTTTGCAACTTCAGTAATTTCTACTCAAGGTAATTACTAATCATTAGCATGCATTAGTTCTCCTATTCAAGTTTCATTGCCTAAGGAAGTTCAAAAAACTTACTGAGAAAAAAAGGAAGACTGGACAAGTGTCTTTCATTTCTTTTGCTTCGTGATAGGCAGCGTCAAGTTTCCTGTTTCCAAGAGGTGTGCTAGCCCAAATACCGTACTTAATACTTTTGTGAACATTGTCTTCACTGAAAGACTTGATAACAAAAAACTTGGCCTTTTCATAATTAGTGATGAAATCTGGGGAGTTGACCTGATCAACATGAAACCCAGAAGTAGAGTTTATGTCTTTATTAATGCGAGAGGAAGAGCCCATTTCTGGGGAACTTTTTCCTCTTGTCTTTGAATCCCTAGGTCCGCGGTTACGATCTGCTGAGAAACCCAGCAAATCAGTTGAAATACTGGCAGAGTCCCGATCCCCTTCACGTCTTCTGCCTTTGTCAGTGGGAAACCTATTCCGGTTAGAAGTGGATCCACCAGTGCTTTGATAAGAGCAAATGTGTGGATAATGTCTAGCTGAGGAATTTGACAGCAATCCAAAACCTTGAATGGGAGTCTGCCATTGAGATGTTTGCAATTACAAAATATGTCAGATATTAATATTTGAAGGGAAAAAAAACAAGAAAAAGAAAAAAGAAACAAAATATGCATTGAGCGAGAAATATGCCAAACTGTTGTTATACCAGATATATTTATAAGAGTTATATGCTTTCCAAACATGGAAGCATTCGACTAGATTTATCAAAATCACAATTGGCTCATCACTTGAGGATAAAATGACTAGAAGTATTTTATACCTAGCACAAATTACTCAATGCAATAATAAATAGAAAGTGGAAGTCCATAAATTCTTTTTATGCATGAGCGTATACACAGATATGTGTATTGTAAACCAACCTGTGCAACATTTTGCTCGTATGCCCCAAGTATACCAACTGGGTGAGGATATACAGTTCCAGAAGTCAATGGAGACATGAACCTGCTAGTTTCTATGGCACTAGAATGATTTGGAAATGGTTCACCAGATCCAAACTCGCTAGAAATATTGTAAAGACCAACCCCACTACTTCCAGATATATCTCCACCAAATGATCTGAAAGGTAAATAGTAACCTGATCCTGGCCCAAAAGCTGCATTTTCATTCAGATTTTCTTGGGCTCTACTTGCTGATGGAACGAATTCCGACTGTGCAACTGGAAGTGCCGAAGTGACATGTGGCAGGCCGTGGGAAACTGGTGGAGGATAGTATGATGGAGATATAGGCATTTGGTGTGGAGAGAACAGATGGTTGTCGACCATTATAGGAGATAGAGGATTAGCAAGGGGAGAAAACTGTCCATATGCAATCTGGGAATCAAAGCCATAACCAGGAGGAAAGTAGACAGATGCATTATCATTGTACATTGCCTAAACAAAATAAAATTGTTAGTATCTGTCAGGCACTACTAAGTAAAGAAGCAAATAGATACAATGAAATTTATCAAAACCCACCATAGGTATGACATGCAAGTTGTTGGAATTAACATAGTTAGACTGTTCATCCTGGTTACCAGTGCCATTGCCATAACCTGGATACGAAGAAGTAAGACATATACCCAAACGACAGGTTAGTAGAAGCAGAAACAATAACATCAGTAGGCGACATAATTGAAAACTCATCAATATCAGCCAACTTCTTCAGTTTACAATTTTGAAATCTGTTTTGCTTTGAGTTGATAACGAAAAGAACCCTAGTATCATAAATTGATTTCGCTCCCTATTTAAGAAACCCAATAGATGCTCATAAATAGCAAATCTTGGTGTGACCAAAAAAGAATATTTGGCCCTTACTATGCCTTTCCTAAACCATATATATCTATTTATGCATATGTGTGTAGAAGCAACTAAAACTACCCATTAATTGCTGCTTGATTAATGGGAAAAAGAGGGATTATTTAGGTAATAACTATTATTGCAATCTCTATTGCACGAACACTTCGGCTAGGGTAGCTTGTCCATGTCCAATACGTGTCAGGTACCAATACTCCCCGGACACTCTATTTGATATTTTTCTATTTTTTATTAAAAATATTATATATTTTTAACTTAAAGTTATTAGTAAATAAAAAAATGTACTCGTATTTAAAGGAATTCAACAAGAAAAATTAATAATAAGTATAAAACTAAATTTATATTATATAAATGAAGAATTTTAAAGAATTTAATAGACATGTTGTGTCAATACTTTTTTGAAAAATCACATATCGACATATCCGACATGTATCACGTGTCCATGTCAATGCATCATATTGCAATGTTCGAAGAATTATATATTTAGAAAAAAAAAAAGTCTCTTAAAGAATCATATAGGTCACAAAAAAATATCGTGGTAATTGACTGCAATTGTTATAAATGAAAGTAATATATTAGGTATTATATGAAATTGCTAGGTTAGTAGACGGAACGAGACTACAACTTGGCACTTGTGTTAAGAGGCTTATTAAGTCACTTGGCACTGCAACTGAAAGGAATTATTACATACCGTAAAACCATCTCTTAGAACATCATAGAGGACACCTAATCATGATCTAGAAGTTGACCATAACAAAACCAAAGAAAGATGAGCTCTTACCCTAAAAAGTTCACCATTTGAAAACTACAAGATCATTATAATTTTGGTGGCTAACAATGACAAGGCAACACAATATTCACATAAAAAGTCAATTTACATAATCCAGCCATTCATCTTAGTAAGTATTCCTAAAAGAAACATATGTGATACACTATTTTGAATAACAAACTTAAGAGTCAAAAGAACTGCATCACATATAAGAATGGTTTAACACATTAGCTTTCACTAGAAATGAGAATACAAGTGTAGCTTGTACTAAAAACATGACTGTTTCCCTTTGTTAAACTACTATATGCATGAACTTTTGCGGGTAAGAGCAACAATATTAGTAGCAAGTAAACTAACCTCCATAATGAAAACCTTGATCTTGTGGAGTATAAGCATTAAATGGATACATATTGGTAACAGCTACACTTGTTTCCAAGGTTGCACGTTGATCCTTGACATTTCTTAAAGACCCTGAGATAGAAGCATCCGGAGACGGATTTATAGAAACAATCCTTTCATCTTTTGGCGGAAGCGGCTGATAATATATTCAAAAAGAGATGCTAATGGAATACCAAACACACCATCAAATCTAATTAAAGCGTAAATAACTGAAGGCACGAAAACATAACAAGATTATGCTGTGTTGTAGCCTACCTGTTCAGTCAACATATGCAGCTCATCAACACCGCTGTCACCTGCATCAACCAAAGAAAACCCCAAGAAGAACGGAAAATGTTACACAAGTCCTACAAAAGTGTTCCTAGAAGATCACCTTGCTTTAGAGAACCACATAAAGTTTTGTTATTTTTTAGTCTTTCAGCCAAGGTCAAATATTCACAAAATAACACAACAAATTTTCAACTATAATTATTTTTATATTGAATAGTTCAATATTTTTATTTAAAAGAAAATCAAATTTCTCACAAACCCAAAATTATATAAATCTGGCAACTTCACTGTAAAAGGGTTCAAACTAAACAACAAAACCAAAACGTACACATTTCATAAAAATCCTAAAACAGTCGCCAAAAATCACAATTCTTAAAAACCCAAAAATAATCATCGTATTGATTTTATAATTATAATCACACCCACAACCACACATATATATTCAAGAAAAAATTACATAGAGGCGAAGTGGCGAACGAACCAGCAGATGAAATAGAAGGGAATTGATCGAGGCTCTGTTGACTCGTACCGTCCATCAACTCCCAATTATTATACACATGAACTCAATCGAATCGGACTAAAAACTTCAGATCTATTTGAGTTTTATTATTCCAAATCAATCAACTGTTTATTCAAAATATGAATCCGTTGACGAAAGGAGACATTTTTCTTCAATGAAATTGGATTTATAGAAATTGCGGGGAATCCAAAATTGCTTCCCGAAAAGGGTTTTAGGGTGTCACATATATAACTACATATACACGCATTGTACGCAGAGGAAATATTTTAAGAGGTCCGGACAAGATAGAGTGCATGTTTGACTTAGCTAACTTTGTACCTAAGTTTCCTGATATATCCTACAAACCTCATTTTTTTTCAAAATCTATTTTCAATTGAATATTCTCTTATAAAAATAATTTTACAGAAAAATAATTTTTTTTCTTTTTTTAATCACACATTTTTCAAAAATTACTATTTCAAAATACATTTTCTACTAAAATGGGGCTCAAAGGGTCAAAGTAAAAAAACAAAATTTAAAATAAATTAACTTTTATATTCATAAATAAATAAATTACATATTTAAGTTAATTGTCCCAATAATCACTGAACTCATTTTGTGTCTTTGACCACTAAAATTTCAAATGTCGAGTTTTGTAAAAATTTATCAAAATGTTGGATATTATTCACTGATATGACATCAATTTCACAATTCTAATGAAATTATTGACATGATTGTCGAAACGCAAAGGTGGTGCTCGAACAAAATGTTATGCAAATTGTCACGTAAGAAAGATGCATTTGATTTCTCACCATATTTTGAAAGATGTCTTTGATTGCTCATTATGCTTTTAAAAATGTATTTTATTGTTCACTATACTATAACGCAGTCGAATTTTGGGGTACTAAACTTGTAAAACTAACTCGATCGCCCTGAAAATTTAAAAATATTTTTCCAAGTATCATTTGCACGCAACAAAATTTAATTAATTAATTATTTATTATTAATTTTTTTCTTTTGTGGACAGGTGTTAGGTATTGGAGATTTACCTGACTTGCTATGAAAACATACTTAATCTGATGAACGACTTTTCTTTTTGTGGCTAAATGCTGCTATAATCGAAGCTCCTAAATGGGTAAGTAAAGAAAGGGAAAGACTCGGAAAACAAGAAGGAATGAACTTTTTTTAACTGATGACATAATTCTAACGAATTATGGGTGTTTGCTCTATATTTTTTGATTGATGACAAAATTCTGATGGGCCTTTTTTAATATACTTAGTGGCTGCAAAAATTTTCATCGATGCACATAATCATGGTGGGAATTTTAATTTTATTTTTATTTTTTAATGATTTTTGGTGTATATTTTTTGCTGCACTGAAATATTGGCTGCTAATGTTGCAATTTTTTATTAGTATTTATCTGACAAATTATGGATTGTCGAAGTCATTTGTTTTCTCTTAGAAAATATAGTTTCGAATATAGATAAAATTTTGTTGCAAAATTAAATTTTATTGTATGCAAGTGATATTTGGTGCAACATTCTAAAAATAATAGGACATGCCAACGTCAATTTTACAAATTTAGTGGTTAAACTCGATAATCTTAAAGTATGGTGAGCAATTAAAGACATCTTTTAAAGTATAGTGAGCAATCAAAAACGTATTTCAAAATATCATCAGCAATAAAAAAGACTTTTTTCTTATGTGAAAATTTCTATAATGGTGTTTGGACGCCACATGTACATTCGGTTTGTCATATCACCAATTTCGTTAGAATTGTTAAACAAATATTATGCCAGTAAGTAACGTCCAATATTTTGATAAATTTAGTAGCAAAAATTTGGCATTTGAAACTTTATTTAGCAGTTGAAGACAGAGATACGAATTTTGTGATTATTAAGACAATTAACTCTATTAATTTTTTTCCGCAAGTAAAAAATATAAAATTCAAACAATAATTTTCTTGAAAATAAATTTGTGGTTTAAATATGGTACCTTAGGAAACTGCCTTACCTTTTTAATGCTGCCCAAGATTCTGTTAATTTAAATGCAAGACGTGTTGGATTGATTTTCTTGTAGTCACAAGCTCCACATTAGGCCTCTATTTGACAACCATTACTTCAAAGTTTATTTTATTTTTTTACATACTCATTTTCAACTACATATTCACACAAAAAATATTTTATACGTAAATGCAACATTTTGCCTATTTTTTAATCAACATTCTCCAAAAATCATTATTCAAAACTTCATTTTATCTAAATAATGGTTGTCAAACAGGGGCTAGGTTCAAAAAGGATAAATATGGAGGTGATGGTGAATTTTAGTCAACGATTGTAGAGATGGGACTACATTTGGAACCGAAAGCTATGATGGTCTACTATTAAGGGTAGAATAGTATCTTCAGTAAAATTGACTTTTTAATCTTCAAATGGATGAAATCTATAGCTCGACACTAACTCCGCAACAATATAGATAGGTCGAGGACATAGCTACCAAAAGTAAAAGTGAGGTGCAATGTCCGATTGGAATCTATGAAGTAATTTTCGTGCACGTTTGACGAAGCTTATAACTGTTTATAATTTAGTCAAATTTTATTTTTATTCACACATTTTGAAGAATTCAATTTTTTTTTTAACCTATTTCGACTCACTTATTATCCACATATATTTTAGGATTTATAGCTTAGTGTGTAAAGCTTTGACAAACATACTCATCTTTTTGAAAGTTTGGCTCAAAAGGACACAGCAGTTGTCAAAATAGAAGATGGGTAGCTATATGTCAAAGAAAACTTGTTGGATAGCGAAGTGCGAGTAAAACCAATCATTAAGGACTGATCACGTAATTTACCAAGAACAAAGAACTAGGATGTAGCCAGGGGAAATACATCAAAATAGTCTAAATAAAAAGAAGATTTTCCAAATTAGACTAAGAAATAAAAACATTTCCAAAATAACCTTTAAAAAATTATACTTCCTAAAATACCCCTTATAGAGAAATTGCAACCAAAGCCACTACAATGTATAAAAATCTTCAAATAAGTCCCCAAAGAAATATAGATCAAAATTCCTTAATAAATTTAGATCCAAATATTATACAAAATTTTATTAACCTAAAAAACTCTACAGAAAATGAATTAACCTATTTGGAAGAAGATCTGAAAGACTTCTTTATAGAATATTTAGACCCAAAACTAAAAAATAAAAATGATTCCATAGATGATGAAGCAATCAAAATGGAAAAAGATATATATAAATTAATTCTTAACTTAAGAAGGAGAATTAAAGAATTAAACATAATTATTCAAGAAAAAATATTGGTAAAAAATAGTGAATTTTATAAATTCTATTGTGATATTTTAAATACCTATGAAGAATTTAACCCCTCCGCTGCACACTCTGATAAAATGGTATCAGAGCCATGTTACGAACCAAAAATCATGATGAATATAGTAGATGAAGAAAATATAATTGAAGAATTTTTGAAAAAAGTCGAAAAACATAAAAAACCTAGATCCTTATTTACCTAAAAATACCACAAATGAAAATTTTGGGAATATACATAAAAGATTAGAGAATCTAGAACATAATCTACAAATAGGAAATGCCCTATTAAATAAAAACCTTAGAGGAAAAGATAGGATTATAATTAATCAACCCCAAAATTTTAGGATAACACAAAAAGAAAATAATAAAGGGAAAAAACATGAAAAAAAACAATACATGATTACAGATGTAGAAGAAATAGAACAAAAATTCTTAGAATCTACAGGAGAAGAGTATGAAGAATATAAAAAACAGTTAGAAGAATTAACTGAGAAAATGGAAAATATAAAGATGAATACTAATCCATCCTCAAGTCATGATATAAAGGTAGAATTTAGTAGTGATGAAGAACAAGATTATCCTTATGGTACCCCAATACCTAATAAGTTTGATATTAATCAATATAGAAAAACACAGAAAAGATACACTGGAAATGTAAGAAAACAATTCATAAAAGAAATAAATCCAATGAAATCTTATAATGAACCAATCCATACAACAGGAGTATAGTTAGATCTAGATTGTGTAGATAAAAATAAAGCTATTGAAACATGGATAAAAAGTACAGATTTAGCTATACAATTTAACAAATGGGAAACATATACAGCTTTTGAATTTATAAAACATACATTCAGAGGAATTGTTTTTGAATGGTGGAGAAAATTACCAGAAACTATCAAAGGAAGTATAAAATACGGAACAAATAGAACTGAAGTATTAGATAATAGAAATACTCTAAATGAACAAAATATACAGGAAATATTAAAAAGATTTGAAAAGATCTTAAGAACAGAATTCTTAGAAGATAGGTATGCTTCTAATGAAGAAGAAAGAAAACAAGATGAATATAACCAAGGAATGATTTTAATGGAAAATTTAAAGATATGTGATATGTGTGAGTTAGAAAGATATACATGTAAATTTGAAAAAATATACTATATACTTAATCAATGAGACTATCAGGAAAATAAACCTATTTTAAGGTCTTATTTTACCAAGTTACCATTTCCATGGGGAATCAAGTTACTAAAAGAATATGAGAAATTACTACCTCTAGGAAAAGAGGAAGGAGTTGAAATAGATAGTCTTGGAAGTAGAATTGAATTTACAAGAAGAATGATAGGAATGTGGTGCAGAGAAGCACTAGAAAATAAGAAAACTTATAAAATAAGAAAGAATTCATTATGTTGTTATAAAGATAATGGCCAAGTTGAACAATTTGGATGCCATAAGAAGAAATATAAACCATATAAGAAATATAAAAAGAAATTCAAAAAATATAAAAAATTCAATAAAAGGAATTTTAAACCATATAAAAAATATTTTAAGAAAAGAAATTGGAATAAGAAATTTAAACCAAGAAACATTAAAAAATGTAGATATTTTATTTGTAATGAAGAAGGACACATTGCTCCTCAATGTCCTAAAAAGAAAGATAAACAAAACATAAAAACTCTTAAAATTTATGAAAAATTCCAAGAAAATAGTGATATAGAACCAATAGAATATTTTGAAAATTTAAGCAGTGAATGTAGTAGTATTTATGAATTAGATACATCTTCATCAGAAGAAGATTATGATGAGATAGTATATATGAATCAGGAGATACAACAATCAGAAATAGAAATAGAAACAACTGAAAAAGTTGAAGATTTTATAAAAGGTATCAATCAGGAAATAACTTTTGATATTAAAAAATATGCAGGAATCACTAAAAAGACATTAGATCTAC